AAAATAGTGTTCGATATATAAGGGAGCTATAATTTATATTAATAAGAAATAGAAGTTTTTTTCTTCACTGACATCACAAATCTGAGGTGCTGATACTGCAACTATGCTTGTGACTTTGTGCTAGCACTGCTATCGATGGCCACCGAGGGTTCTGTCTACCAATTTTCACTTACAAGACTTTGGTTAACTCATGGTATGGTTTTCAGGCATTTTTCAAAGATGCCACATAATGGGATCATCCCTCTCCAGATCGATAACATCAAGAAGTCTCCTTCCTGATGAATCAACAATTGTAAGATTCAAACCCAGGTTGCATGGTGAGAAAGCAAATGTTCTAACCATTTGGCCATGTGCCACATATATATATATATATATATATATATATATATATATATATATATATAATACACACTCACAGATTTAACTGCATGTCATTTAATCAGATTGGGAGAAGAATCCAAATGCCACTTGGAAAACAGTTTTTTTTTTAAAAAAAAAAAAGAGTGTCTTAAACTTTTGAAATTAATCAACTGATAAAGATGATCTCAATGATGCATCATCATCCATTTTAACAAAACAAATGTCTTTTGCAGATTGTATTTGTGAATTAAATCATACAAAATAACTGATGAAAATATAACAAAGACACAAATGTCAGTAACTTAACTTTTTAAAGGTCAAGTGGCACAAGGCCTTCAACAAAACAGTGACATTTAGATTGAAGCAGAAGTGATCACAAGAGGTGTTAAAGTTACTGTCAAAAATTGTCTGGTTGAATATATATGTGATGAATCTCAATCTGTAAGATATACACTTTTAGGCATAAGTTGATCATCTCTGTCTGATTTTCTGTGATGATGAAATATCTTTATTTGCATTATTTACATGTGGACTATTGTCCTCATCTATGTTATCGTCACAGCATTGTGGGTGTTGTGCCTGCAGCACAGAACAATATCTTAGCATTGATGCTTCTCTGAACACTTTCATTTTGACCTCTTCAATTCAAAAGTCAATTGTTATCTAACCTCCTTATTCTTACAAGCTTTACTTTTTACTACTTCCTCTTTCATTCATACCATACACCTGCTTTATGAAACTGACTCCCAATAGGATGCTTCCCCAATCACTACAATCTTAAGCTGTCTAGGGTCAACTGTTATCTTCTTCAAATATTCCCATAAAATGTGCCTCTAACTGTATAACCCTCTTTCAGCAGCTCTTGTGACTTTTACAGAGGGAACATCATTGTAAAAGAAAAAAAAAACACCTTATTTATCATAACAGTTTACTACCTTGCTATGTCTGAAATTAAGGGCACAAACAAAAAATTATATTTTTTTTTTCCTTTTTTAAATAATGACTCCAAATGCAAATCCAGGGCCTTCTCACTCCTTCTGGAAGGACCCCTTCATGATTGACCTCCACCACTTCCTATCTCTGGCCATACTGGGCTATGTTGGGCCATGTAGGGCTGAGGTATCTAGTCAGGTTAGTGTGCATTATTCCTTTTGGAAGAACTTAGGACCAGCCAAGGGTAAATGATGAATATTGAGTAGTAAATATGAATATACTATTTCTGCCTGGATTTATAGGATGAGGAGTTAACTTTATTTACAATAACTACATGTAGACTTATGGCTTATGTATAGATTGATGAATTCAGAAGCTTGTATCTCAGTGTGAAGAATTAAATAAACTCTGATACAGTCTGAAATGGATCCACCCTTGTTCTCCTGGCATAACCATGTTCATCTTTCTGGGTTATTTTTTATGCATGTTGATTGGTAGGTTTTGAGGAGCTGTTTGATTCCTCTCAAAGGCACAATTTTTCTTTAGTAGGACTAAAAGAAAGATTGTGCCTCCAAGAGGAATTGAACCTGTATTCCCTTTTCCATTATCATATTGCTATAAGCATTAATTTTAGTGAGCACACATATTTAAGTTGCTCTCTCTGTTATTTCTTATTTTCTTAAAAAGTGAAATTAATAACAACTGGCCTAGATTAAGAAGTCCAACTAAAGAAAGATTGTGCCTTTGAGAGGAATTGAACCTGTATTCTCTTTTCCATTATTATATTGCTATAAACGTTAATTTTAGTGAGCACACATATTTGAGTTACTCTCCCTTTTATTTCTTATTTTCTTAAACAGTGAAATTAATAACAACCAGCCTAGATTGAGAAGTCCTACTAAAGAATATTGGGCTTCTGAGAGGAATTGAACCCTTATCCCATTTTCCATTATTATATTCAGCCAGAGAGGCAACATTGATAGAGCAAGGTTTGAATTATCTATTTAAGGAAGGCACATTTCTTGTTGGGAAATAACCAAGGTGGAATACAGTAGATATAGTATAGGTTCAATTCCTCTCAAAGGCACAATCTTTCTTTAGTAACACTTCTCTATATAGGCCAGTTGTTATTACTTTCACTGTTCAAGAAAAAAAACAAAAAAAACAGGGATAGCAACTCAAACACATAGACCCACTAAAAATATTG